GACTGCTTACGGTTAGCGAAACGCGGCGGACTGTCGTTGACATCAGATAGGGTGATGCTGACTGTTGTGGTCCCTGACAGACCACCCATCTGTCCGGCCATATCTTTAGCCTGAATCACAACCTGGTAGTTTTCTTTGACTTCTCTGTCCATGCCAGGCAGGGCGGTTTTAATAGTACCTGGAACCAAAGAGACATAGTATTACCAATACCAATATATTGAGCATGGACATTGTTGAGCAGCACGGTGGCGCAACTGGTAGAGCTGCTGCCTCTCAGCGAGCAGGTCCTTGGTTCAAACCCCGGTCCAGGGGCCTTTCTGGGTGTAGTTTGCATGTTCTCTCCGTGCATGCGTGGGTTTTCTCTGGATGCTCTGGTTTCCTCCCACACACCAAAAACATGCATGTTAGGCTGATTGGTAACTCTAAATTGTCCCTAGGTGTGAGTGAGAGAGTGAATGGTTGTTTGTCTCGTTTGTCTCTATGTGTCCCTGTGATGGACTGGAGGACCGTCCAGGGTGTACCCCGCCCCTCGCACAGTGATTGATGGACATGGGCACCGGCGACCCCCGTGACCCAAAATGGAAGAAGCGGGTAAAAATAATGGATGGACTTTGTTGAGTATTACCAATACTTTAGTTTATATTTGTTATGCCACATTTTATTTGTGGCGGCACAGTGTACAGTTGGTAGAGCTGCAGCCTCTAAGCAAGAAGGTTGCCGGATCATATCCCAGCCAGGGGGCCTTTCTAGGTGGAGTTTGCATGTTGTCTCCATGCATGCGTGGGTTTTCTCTGGATATTCCAGTTCCCTCCCACAGACCAAAAACATGCATGGTAGGCTGATTGGTAACTCTATATTGTCCCTAGGTGAGAAAGAGAGATGGATGGATTATTTGTGTGTGTGTGTGTATTGAAATAATAATGTATGCTTAAAGAATAGACAGCTCAAGCTCTATCTTGATCGTTGATCCTTCGTTGAAAAAGGAAACTTCAAAAATATGATTTGTATCCTATTAAATTAATTTACCAAGTAGGTTTTGAAAGAAAGTTCATTTAGTTGTTTTAGTATATTACAATGTTGTTCTTGTATCAGCTGTAGTACAACTGGAATATCACTGTGGTACAGCATAGAGAATTAAGATTACTTCTCCATCATGTTTGTTTAAATGTATACATTAAAATTGCATAGTTACAATTTGGTATATAAAAATGTACCATTTTATACATGTACCCTTAACAAAAAGTAGTACATTTGAAGTTAATTTTTGCAAGTATACTTTAAGTTAAGTATATCAAGTATACTATTCAATTCAATTCAAATTCAATTCAAAAATACTTTATTAATCCCAAAGGGAAATTATTTGTTGTTGTAACTCGTTATCCTCATTTCATTAAGAGATGGTATAGATACTAATGGCTGTAGACAGGAAGGATCTCTTGTAAAGGTCCATCCCACAGTGGATCCTAAGAAACTGGCTGCAGATACCGTCCGATCCGTCCACCCAGACTCGGCTGGCCTCTCGGTTCCCCCGGGCTGTAGGAGCACACCAAATGCAGGGTAGAACTCCTCGCAGAGCGATGGCCACTCCTCCCAGCAGTCTGCCGAGCTACGCGTCGCTGCAGACAGCCAAGTGTAGGTGTCGTGGGATGATCCTGTCCTTCCACTGTCATGAGCCATGTTTCCTGCTAGTTCCAGGATCTCAGTGGTCAGGCACTTGAGCACAGCTGGCAGGTAGATGAGAATGCATCCACAGAACATCCTTTCAACTCATTTGAGATTTGGGGCTCTAGTTGAGATATTATTTGAGCTTTTGATATGTTAATCAGCTGTTGGTTTTAGGAAACTGCCTTGTTGCCATGGTTACGCATCATAACAAATGTTCACAAAAAAAAAAAAAAATCAGTAAAATTCCTTCCAGCTGCACAGCATCCGATACCAGAGGAAACAATCATCAAAAAAAAAAAAAAAAAAATTACATCCAGAAAAAGAGGAATTAAAGTTTCCAAAAGCAAAATCTCAGAATGAAAGTAACAGAGCTGCTCCAACATGCAGCCACCTGGAGCGGCGCAATTCTAGAACCACACACCATACTTGTAGTGCACTAGAAAGTATACTGATTTAATACTTGTTTGGACTAAATTTGGACATTTTTATACTATGTTTAAGTACATAAAATAAAGTTTATAAAAAGTAAACTTCAAGTACACTTCCTTATTTTTAGTGTAAAATAAGTATACTTGTAGTACACTTAAATAAATTACTTTTTGCTAAGGGTAACTATTAATTACTAATGTAAGAATTTTCAGAACTTTAATTTTCTTGTTTAAAATGATTAAAATGTTATTTTATTTATTCATGTTTTATCCTCTTTTTTACATAAACTCAACTTTAAACAAAAATAATTATTGAATGAATGATTAATATGTATTAAACAATTTGCTATGCCAAACTTTTAGGGACGGTCAACTTAAAATAAAAGTGTGTATTTATGTTGTCTGTTTTAATATATCTTTGCTCAAATGATTGCGACACATATTTGCTTTTAGACTATAACTTACATTTGTGTTATGCTACTTACTGATTTGATTTATGAGTTAAACAAATAAAAAAAAAATTTTGATTCCTTGTTCAGGAAAAAAAAAAAAGTCTGTATAGCGTAGAATTGCATTCCAACACATTTAGCTGTTTGGCTCACCATTCTCAGAGTCCACAGAGAAATAGGGTTGTCCTTGTAGAATGCTGTATACAAGCTTGGCACTGTTCCCGTACGTCTGGTCATCGGCATCAGTGGCAGTTACAGTGGCAACAGACGTACCTACAGAAAAGGCAGAAACAAATCATACAAAGTGAAATTAAATTGACTGTCATACCGAGGCCTACCTATCTGACCTGATACCTAGCCAGGATCAAGAAACTGGGTCAACATACTTCTGTGTTCTTTCATCTTGTATTAGATGGCTGCAGGCCTGAGAGCACATTTCAGACAAGCAATTTCTCAAAGTGACAGTATTTACCGACGTTGCCCTGACGTTGCTCATGCTTAAACTGCTGTCAAACCAAAGGCTTTGGAGGTGAGTCAGATCAGTCCGTCTATAACAGACAATGATGGCAAGGTGTTACAATAAGCATCTGTGGTTTTGTTTCTACTTGCATATGAGTGAAAGTTATCAACAAATATATCTGACAAGGTTGAGTCAGGTCCTCTGGACGGATTCTTCTTTGTTGAAACGTTTCGTCTTGTATCCAAGACTGAAGAAGTCCTTTGGATAAAAGACGATTTCAACAAAGAAGAATCCATCCAGAGGACCTGACTCAACCTTGTCAGATTCATCCTCCTGGAATATTGAGCAGCATCAGGACATCAACATATGCTTTGAACAAAACCTTGGTTCTGGACTACCATCCTTTGTAAACATATATAACATTAAAGAAAATATAAATAAAATGTGGAAACATATGGCAGCTGCTTTGCAGTAAATAGATGTTTGTTTGTGTTTTAAGATACATCTTAAGTCTTATCATCTCATCTTAACATCATTAATCATCAGGTATTTTAGGATCATGTCTGAAGTTCATGAATTAGTTCATCAGGTCCGTCTCATTGAGTCACGATGACTCATTTA